GGCTGTGAAGGCCACTGATTTCGGGTGCAGGGAGCGGGGTGGTAGAACCGGGCCTGCGCCGGGGCCGGTAAGCGGTGAGCCTCGGTCCGTGTCGGGGGAGAGCGGTGGTACTGCGTCTTACCCGCATGGGCTCGGGGGCTGGCTGTGGGTCAGCACCGCCCGCGTGGGAATGCACTCGCGAAACCATGAATGTGCGCCGTATGTGTATATTGAAAAAATAGATGCAGGGACTTACGTTTTTCTCCATTTAATTTTCTAAAGCTACATTTAAGGTGTATACCAGAGCATGAGCCCTTAATAAGATTGGCAGTGTTCTTTGAGTATAAGGTCAGGGCTTGTAAGTTACAAATGTATGTATAAAGGAAGAAATAGCTTTTAAATGTATGTGCTTGATTTCTGTCCTGGATGGGATCAGCATGGCATGTTTGTATCATGATATGAAAGAAGGATCTCCTGATGGTAGGTGGTGTTCATGTCTCAACAGTTTTCCTCCCTTCCTTTAGCAAAGTTTGGTAACTTTTTAAGAATCTATACTAGAGTTTGCAGTACAAATATAGAAGTGCTTAGCTACTGAAGCTGGTAGCACAGTCTAGTATACTGAATTCAGGGTAATTGTAGGCACTGGAAAGTGCAGGAAAGTAGTTTATGTGGAGCTCTACTGCTACTATACTATGTGTTCTTTAGATGTCATGGTATGCATATGTATTTTTAATATGTTTGGTGAACTGAAAAGTACTCCACAAATGATAAATTTATAATTTGCAGTTTGATATGCCAAGGGACTCCTTACTGCTTTTAAAAATTTGTGTTCAGTTTCCTTTAGTTTCTGGATGTGTGGTGCATTCTGCTTCCATTGTTGCTAGGGCAGATCCCACCAGAAAATGTTGATGTGTGGGAGTTCTTCCACCGAGTTGAGAGGGAGTGCACTAGTGTGTGTGTGTGTGGACTTCGAGTCTTTTAGAAATAGTAGACATCCACAGTGTAGGTGGGCACCTTTCTGAAATGGAGTAAGTAAACTCATCATTAAAACTAGGTGTCAAATGCTGATGCCATAACGCCACATCTACTTTAAACTAACTGTGCTGCCAGAGGAAACTGACTTTCCTCCCTCCAAGCACCCAAAAAGGCTAACTGTAACTTGGATTAACTGTCTGTTTCTGGTTTGCTGCATATATTCCTAAATATTGTGTCCACACAAGAGAGTAAATGGCATAGGGACAAAACTGCTTCTGGTGACTGTATTGGGTCAAAGTGCCTGTGAAACTAACAAGAATTGGCTATGAGGGCAGGATGAGGTTTCTTTGTAAATAATAGTAGCTGTAGCTGCTGGTGGACTATAGGAATGTAGGGTTGAAGTGGGTGTGTACAGATGACACAGACCTTCAAGCTCTCAGGATACTTCTGCTTGTTGCGAAAGCTTTCTGCCTTCACAGATGCTGGTGCAACCCATGTGGCTTATCTGCCTTTACTCTCAATACTCAATTTATGTGCACGTGTGGAACTGAAACCCCTTACCAAACCAGAGTGCCTTGTTTGTTAACAACAGAATAAATCCATTCAAACTCAAGTTAACAGCTACAAGTAGTAGTTGCAAATTAATGCACTTTCACATAATTATGATTTTTACCGATTTAGAAATACATATAATCTGATTATCAGCTTTGTTGTTTTTTTCCCTGAGTGTACTAGTAGAGACAAAACTGTTGCATAGTGTCACACTGATTCAAATAGAATTCTGTGTAGACTTATTTTTGTGCTTTTATTTTCAGGCTCCTGCTTATCATCTCATTTTGGAAGGAATTCTAATTCTATGGATAATCAGACTTCTTTTCTCCAAGACATACAAGCTCCAAGAGCGATCTGATCTAACACCTAAGGTATGGTGGAAAAATATTTTTCTTTAGAGAAACAGTTTATAGCTGTTAATATCTTTGACTGTTGAACCAATGCTGCATCACAAATTGTGCTGGTTTTTCATAGGATTTTAAAGGGTAGGCTTACTTTGGGCTAAGAAGCTGCTTATTGCTTTAATGCTTCAGTTCATGCTTTTAAAGCAGAACTGTGTTTGAGAGTCTGAGAAATATAAAATAACTGATGTGACTGTGACTGCTAAGCTATGAAAAGTTGGCATTAGCTCTACTCAGTGGATGGCTTTGTTTTAAAAATGGAAACAAGACTAAAAAAACCCCGCTGAACAAAATTAACAATAGCAGTGTAAAGAGTAGGAAAATGATCAATCTGTACATGTGGTATCTGTGGGTAATAACTCTGAGAGTTTACAGTGTTAAGTGGGTTCCAGAAGTCTTTGTAGTTAGCGGCAATTTTCTTCTTTTGCAAGGTAGTTGTCACAAAAAAAGAGAGAATAATTGGTGACCTGAAAAAGCTGAAACCTATGTCTTCCTTACAAAGTAAGGATTACACTCAGATATTTCTGTGTGTTGTGGTTTAACCCAGCAGGTAGCAAAAACAATGACAGAGTCATTTGCTCACCCTCCGGCTCCTGCAGCGGGATGGGGGAGAGAATTGGGGGAAAAAAAGATAGAACTTGTGGTTTGAAATAAAGACAGTTTAATAGGACAGGCTAAAAAAAGAATAGTGATAATAATAATGATAAAAGAATATACAAAACAAGTGATGCACAGCACAGTTGCTCACCAGCCCCTGACCAATGCCCAGTTAGTTCGCAAGCTGTGACACCTCCCTGGCTGACTCCCCCAGTTTATATACTGGGCATGACGTCGCATGGTATGGAATATCCTTTTGGATAGTTTGCGTCTGTTATCCTGGCTGTGCCCCCTCCCAGCTTCCCATGCACCCCCTGCCTTCTTGCTGGCAGGCTAACATGAGAAGTGGGACAGTGCTTGACTGCTTAGCAACAACTGAAAACACTAGTGTGTTATGAACATTATTTACGTCCCAAATCCAAAACACAGCACTATGTCAGCTATCGGGAGGAAAATGAACTCTCCCAGCTGAAACCAGGACAATGTGCATCTTGAATGTTATCATCCACTTCCATATCATCTCCTTCAGTCACTGGCAGACCATTTTGATGAAGCTGACTTGTTTGAGAAAGTGCTCAGACAAATCTAGTATGTGGGGAAGAGAATTGTTTTGTATCTTCTTAACTGGGGGCAGTGAGCCATTGGGAGATTGCACATGTAGCTGGTCTGCTGCAGCTCAGTGGAAGCAGGGGTTTAGAAGAGGGTCAAAAGGGGGGAAAATGTTTGGAAATGGCTTATGCTTAATAACAGTCCTACTTTTGCAGGATGACAGTAGTGAAGTTCACTGGCAGGACAGCACTAGCAGGCTTTCTGAAGGATAGAAACATGAAAATGTGTTACTGCTGTGATACATCTGATGAGATTTATATAAACTTTACTGAGCTTAAGGGGTGGAAAGCAAGGTGAATACTAGCAAAAATGCAAAGTGATCAAGAATTGCATTGTATTGTTACTGGATACATTGATTCACAGTTGCAAGGCACAGAACAAAAAAATAATTTGCGGTGTTAAAAGCTGTATTACAGCATGGGGTTTGACTTGAGATGTTAAAGACATCAACACCTCTAGCTTTTTGTTACCTGTATCTTGATGGCAAAATGAACAGTGTGAGGGAATGCTCTTTTGTATGATGGTATGTTCAGGTTGGCTGACGGTGAAGGAGATTTTAGTTTAGTCTAGTTGGCTTTACCATTGACCTCTGAAGGAGGAAGCAGTGTTTTCCATAGGAGGAACTGTATTTGAAAGGGAATGTCTTGTCTACAGATAGTTTATTGAAAGTAAGCATAAATACAGGGGTGAAGTGAAAGTGTGAATAAGTCTACAGTTGGAGGACTTAAGCAGACTGACAGAACAGAGGTGCAGAGTGATTCCATTTCTTTTTCTACAGTGTGGGTAATTGCTGTGAAAAGAACTCATTCATTTTGTGTAGGGGGAATAGCTGAGGGGGGAGCAAAACCCCACCTTAATCTTTGTTAAAAATCAAGAGATAGTTGACACTGGTCTGTGTTTTGTGTTAACCCCAGTAGGCAGCTAAGCACTATACAGCTGCTTGCTTGCTTTCTCCCCCACCCCCAGTGGGACAGAGGAAGAGGAAAGGAAGAGTAAAAGCAAGAAAACTCGTGAGTGAAGATAAATTATTCAATAAGCAAAGGAGAAGTGAAAGAAGACAGAAACAAGACAAGTTATGTGAAGGCAATCGCTCACCACCTCCCATAGGTGGACCAATACTCAGACGGTTCCAGAGCAAAAGATGGCTAACTTCCCAAAACTCCTCTTTTCCCTCTTGCTGCTGAGCGTGACATTATATGGTATGCAATATATGGTTAGTTTGGGTCATCTGCCTGGTTTTGTTCCCTCCCAACCTCTTGTGCATCCCTCAGTCTATTCACTGTGCGGGGAGGGTGAGAAGCAGAACGCCTTGACACTGTGCAAAGGCTGTTCAGCAAGAGCTCCAATATTACTGTGTTATCAGCATTGTTTTGGTCACAGATCTAAAACACAATGCTATACGAGCTGCTGTGAAGAAAATTAACATCATCCCAGCCAGCCCCAGCACAGTCTGTTTCATACAGTATGGGATCCCACAGCGGCCAGGCTTCTGTGTGCATGTTGAGTTGCATGTAGTAACATGCCAGCTGTTCAGTGAGGAGACTGCTGATTTTCCTTCATGTTTGTTTCATGCTGTGGTGTCCGGTCTTTACCACAGCAGAAACTAGGTTGCTTAGGTACAGGTTCTGGATGTAGGCCAGCTCACATGGTGGAGCTAAGGCGACCTTTGTGTCAGCTGCTCATGTAATGATACTTGGAGTGTCTCTGTGAATTTTTGTTGGGGATGCTTCCAGAGCAGAGCTGACTCCATGTAATAAATACTACTGAAGAATACCACTATTGCGCAACCATCTTAATGTGATCTGTCAGGACTAGTCTGTCCTGGGCAACCAGAGGTAGATGATATATTGTGCAACCTAGTGCACTTAGGAGTCACACTTCTAAAACAGTGAAGAAATTCTGAAGGTGGCTTCTGGGTTTAGTGAAATGAGTACAAGAAGAGTACAATGAAATCCAGTGCAGGAATCAGCTTTCAACTGATTGCCTGTCTTCCTTTAATATTAGTGTTTGTAGGTCAAAATAATGAAATCTCCTAAAGAGGAGATTAACTAAAAGTTAACTAAAAAGGTGGAGTAGTTCTCTGTGACTATACGTTCCAGATAGTTTGGGATTTTGGGAAGTACAAGTAAGGCTGTGGCCAGGCAAGGTGCTAGACATACAGATTCTTGTGGGTTTTTCACCAAAGTAAATCTATAGAAAAGTGGCAAAGTGCCACTGAGGACTGGAGTGGGCTGTGGGAGATTGCGTGGCATCACTTAGCTATAAGCTCACTTTCCAGCCAACAACCATTTGTGTGAAAGTGCCCTGCAGACATATGTATCTCTCACTCTGCAGTAAATGATACTGAGCTTTTCTCTCAAAATCTCTGAAGTCCTACTAGAGGCCAAGTCTTAAAATTTGTGGATGGAAGGAATAGTTGTTTTCTTTAGTTTTAGGATTTTCACTGCAGTAGTATGATGGGAGCAGTTTTATTAGAGCGATCCTAGTCAGGAAGCTGTAAAGTTTGTGTCAGAGACAGATTTTTAATGCATGGCTGAGAAATACTGTAGGCCACAAGAGCTCTTCTCTTGCAGGAACAGCATTCAGAGGTTGATCAGATGATGTTCTCTAGGGATGTGGTCTGTTCTTCTAAAGGATTTTCAGTCATTTTGATCCAAAACTCCCAATGTAGGTAAAAATTCTCTTCAGTATTAGCATAGTTTGACAGAGAGAAATTTCTAACTAGCATGCCCATGTTTGTACAAATTTATGCCATGCTGATGTATGATTCTATAAATATAATGAAATTTAAGACCTGTTATTTGAGGACCAGCAAATAAAAAAATATTATTAATCTTAATCTTAACACAGATGCTTTTATAACACTGTTTCAGAACAGTGGTGCTAGCTAAGAACTGTCTTTGTGAACACAATTGCTACCTTTTCTTAAAAAATGGGGTCAACAAGGCTACTTAAATAATTTGGGTTGGATGCGTTTACACCCAAGTATTTCTCTTACCCAAGGTATCTGGCATTTAAAGTAAAACCCACAATCAGCAAAATACAACCAACCAAGACCATTTCATTTATATATATGTGTGTAGATAAATATATTTAAAATGTTTATATATATGCACAAATTTATAAATAATTTTATGTATTATAATTTATAAACTATAAACATATCTTATATTTTCATGAATTCTGTATTAGTAAAAAATAAAATATATACATTTTCTATTGATATTTGTATTTTATTTAACTT